GGTAAAATTGAAAATAGATTAAAAACTTATTTGAATTCATAGATCTAGACAATGCTAGAAATGGGATTTTAATTCATACTATCCGACTTATTTGGTCATACCCCTAACTATATGCCATAATGCAATAATTGCTGTCAAACAGTACAAATCTATGCAGGACTGAATAAATTCTCATTTCTCTTCAGTTAGTTGTAAAAGCACTAGCAATTATTGGAAGCAAGGATCTGGAGCACTGTGTAAGGCAAGTGTGAAAATAGTTTACAGTTAGCAATAAAACTATAGAGTTTACTTTTTCTTCTTCTCAAATGGTATTGCCCATTGAAAGCATTGATGTCAGCATTATGTAGGAAGAGAGTCAAAGAAATTTGAGTCTTAAACTAAGTTTTGTCATCCATGGTTGCGGAAATCACAAGTCACTCACTTAACCTCTTGTGACCGAATTTTCTTATGTGTAAAATTTATTACTACCACTCAGATGTGTTTGAATGACTAAATGGGCTGAAGTTGGTAAATCAGGTAACACAATGTCCCCAACCCTTACGATAGACAAACAAATAAATGTGCAAACAAGGAAACACGAGGTTTTCTGAGGCAGTTGGAGTAACTGACCCTATGTCCTTTGTGGTACAAAAAGTAACCTTAAATGGCCAAAGACATCCACTGGGATTTTAAATCCTTATAACATGGTAAACATCTCTGGGGTAATTGCAATAGTCAGAAATACACATGAGTATTTTGATGTGGAAAGTGATTCCCCTTTCTACTTTTTATAGTCCTATCGGGTTTCCCAGAATAGCTCCTTTTCTTTTAATTCTACAGTGAATTAAACAGACTTTTTTTTTTTTTTATTGAGACAAGCAGTGTTGCCCGGTTTGGACTTGAACTCACAATCTTCCCAACTCAGCCTCTTGAGTAGCTGGGCTTCCACATGGGCAGCACAGCACAAAGCTTTTTGCTTTTTGTTTGTTTGTGTTCATTCACATCTTCTGACACCAGCATTATGATTTTCCTTTTAGGAAACATAGTCAACCCTTTCGTCACATGCAATTGGTGTGTGTGTGTGTGTGTGGAGGTCATCTTGCTCTTCACCTGAGGAAGAGTGATTTGAGTGCGGTTTAAGAGTGACCCTGGTTTGAACAATCCAACCAAGCAAGGCCAATCAGAGCCAAGGGAATTCATTCTGAATTTCTGATTGGAAAAGTAATGTGCTCTTTCTATTGAGTTAGATAGGATATAAATATAATCTAGGAACTATATGGTAGCTCTCTTACCATCACGAATGTCAAGAATCACTCTTGAGGACCGGATAGCTGCCTGCCTGACCATGGAAGCAACACAGAGAACCATAGCTAAGAGATGGAGTCCTAAGGGTGCCATCTGATTTTCTGTGGATCTGTCTGTATCTAAAACTAAAATGTGACCAAAATTTTCAGTTTCCAGGGCCAAATGCATTTAAAATGCTCAGCACCACAGTGACACACACCCCAAGCCTTTTTGCTTACTTATCCTCCCTCTCAAGCCTTGTCTGAATTGAGTACTCCTCTCAAAATCTAACCAGTGAGCTCCTTTGCCCAACTTCTGGTCTTGCTCCTTTGTCTTTCCCTTAAGAATCTGAATATAGCACTTGAGCTCTCTATAACAGGATGGCAAGATTATTTTGCATAAACACACATGGCTTCTTCCAACTCTCCCAAATGAGTCCTCTCCATCAGTGCATAGAGCTGCCCATGGCATATGGCGCCAACAACACTATTGCGTTCACTCCCTACAGAGATTCTCTGGGTCAGCTCTGGAGATAGTAATTACTCCTTGCATGGAAGTAGCTGTACTCACGGGCTTTTGTAATTGATGTTTCTTACGGCAGTGTTTTTTTCTTTCTCTTTAGAGATGCCTTAGAGAGCTGAAGACTTATTTAGGTAACATATTCTTTTTATTTATTTTTGAAGCAAATATCTTATGATAAATTTAGTTCATGATTACAAAGACCCTGAAATTATGTCTGCTGCTTCTCCTTGCTGATAATCTCTACAAAATAGTCATTGGGTATTTTGGTAAAAGAAACTATAGTTAATTACTTTATAATTATGATATTACTTCCTGAAATTATAAAGTTGCTCTTTAATATGAATATCACAAAATCCATATTGCAAGTGAAACACTTCCTTTCTTGGGCTTTGAAGACGTACCTTTTCATTTTTTAGAGAAAATACCATGTCCTTTCAAATTATTAACACGAGAAAATGTCATTTGTTTCTACCTCTTTTGAATACTACCTTCAATGTTTCACAGATTTGAGATCTATAATAACCATACAAACTGAAATTACCAGAGCAGCTTCTTAGTTGGCCTAATTTAAGTATAGAAGGGAGAGTGTTAAGCATGTGCACATCTGATAGAGGACCTTATTTGAAGAACATTATAGCTAAATTGGAGAGAGCATAGGGCAACAGAAATGATAAATGGAATGGAAGGGATTACTGAACATATGAGAAGAGATTAAGAAAAATGGGGTTGTTTAGTCTTGAAAGAAGATGAGTCTGAGGTGAATTGATTGAGGAATTTGAACTAGCTAAGGGCCACAATGCAATTAAGTTTGATCCATTTGAAGGTGTACCTTTAGGCAGAAATGTGTGAAAGGCAAATTAAAGGGCTCTTATTTTACAGGAAGTGTGGTGATAAGCAAAGAAAGGATTTGTAAGTACTAAGCTAAAATAAAATAGTATTATCATACTTAAGAAAATATTTGTACGATATAATTGAAGACTTTCATAAAAGCAAGAGAAAGATAGTGGGAATGAGTGTCTAAAGTCTTGGCATAATTTTTTTTAGAGGCAAAGCCATTTCTATTTATGATTTCCTACTCATGTTACATTGAGATACAGGCCTTGGGTTTGAATTCTAACTATTCACGTGTTGCCTAATTGAGTCTGTGCTTTGCTTTCCTCACCTATTAAAGAAATGGCAGAGCTAACACTTGGACTATTTTGTTACATGTTAAATAATAAATAAAATTTTTAAATGCACTGTAGTATAAAATATTTGTCACATAGTTGTTGTTCTATTTGCCAGTGTAAATGCAGTCAAGTACGATTTTTTAAAAGGATATTTAAAATATATTGAGAGCACTTTATAAAAAATTTCAAATAATTTTCTTGTACTTGATCATGTTCCCAAAATAGAATGAAGTAGTAATAAAAATTTTATAAAATAAACTAAAATATTCAAAGTAGGTGCAAGAGGAACAAAAACTACCAAAACCATAAAGTTTATTTAGAAATTAGGCCAAAAATTATATCATGTGAATTCAATATGTGAAGACTACAAAATTTCCCCAAAGCTTTCTATCAATCAAGGGAAACAACAACAACAACAACAACAACAACAACAAGACAAAAATGAAACAACAAAAAACTCAAACCCCTGAACAGTCACATAACACTGTAAGTTCAGAATAAAATCAGACCAAAGTACATGGCAATAGACAACTATTCCCAGCATTATGGCCAAATGAGTATGTTTTCTGAGTGCTTGCCTAAGGGAACTCTACTATCATCATAAACCAATTCCTCAACAATATATCTAACAATAGTACCATAATACTTTCCATAAGACTCTTTATTTTTAGTGCCCAATAGTGTAAATAGTTGGCATAAAATCAAAGCATAAATCAATGGCAGTTCTAGTGAGTATTGTATAAATTGTACAAATACTAGTTTCTGCTTGAAATCATAAACACTATATTTCATTCACTGGTTAATTAATTGCATCCATTAACCCCGAATATCTACTCTTTGTCAAAGTTCAATTAAACTTTTAGCATATACAAAAACAAAGTATAGTCTCTGAAACACTTCTACTTCTGACTTAACAGAAAAGATAGCATCAGACTAAACCTTCACCAGAAATGACTATAAAATGTGAACAAGATACTAAGAAAAAGTTATATTAAGATATAGAGAACAACCAAGGCAATCAAAATTTGGGAGACAAGAATTTAGAGAAATCTTTCTAAGTGACCAAGGAATTTTTAAAAAGAAAAAAAAAAAGAATCAGTTTTATAGTACTTGAGAAATAAACATGAAATTTGAGCAATAAAGGGAAAAACTTAAGGTAAACAGTCTGTGCTACCTTGAGAGCTTGGAAGTGCTACACCATAGGAATAAGAGCAAATGATAAGTAGACGATGTTGACTGATTAAGGTGACATGATCATTTTGTAGCCACTGGTCAGAAGAAAAGTAAGTCCTCTCTGAAAGACAGCACCTTAAAAATCTTTAAAACTTTTGCTGGCATGCAACATCTAATATTCAATTAAGTAATGCTATAAAAGAAAACCAAATGCTTCCCCCCCAAGGAATAAACAAATAAACAAAAACTAGAAAAGCATCTTGAGTAAAATCCAAAAAAGAAAATTTAAGATAATAAGATTAATGTTTGAAAATAGATAAAAAATTGACAGAGAACTTGACAATATGAGAAGAAATAAAATGGAAATACGAATATTAAAAAAGAAAATAAGAGTAAGTATTGAATAGAATTTATAAATAAAAGAGTAAATGCAATAGAAGATAGGATTAGAGAAAGAGAAGACAGAATAGTAGGAAATATTCAGAATGAGGTATAGAGAGAAAAATACAGAATAAAGGATACAATATATAGAAAAGAACACAACAAACTTATAGAACAGATGTATAATAAACTTTTAATTTGAGTCCCAGAGTAAGGGAGAACAATAGAGAGAATGGAGAAAAATTACTTTTGAATAGATACTAACAGATTATTTTTCAAGACCAATTCAAGTCATAAAACCACAGATTTAAAGAGCTTAGAAAACTGAAAATAGGATAAATTTTAAAAAGGCAATCATAGTAGAAAGATTTTAAAATAAGAATAAATAGAAAATCTGAAGCCAAGAGAACAAAAACCACATTATTTGCAAAGGAAAGGTTATAGAGCTAAGAAATATTATTGATTTTTAAATAGAAACAATGGAAAGATAAAGATAATGGGATAGATTTTTAATTGTATACAAAAATAATTCCCAGTCTAGATTTAAAATTTTGTTAAAACATGCTTCAAAAATAAAGGCGAAGAAAGGCATTTCAAACTGTATTATCTTGCTTTCATAACAAATCACACGTTTGATGCCACATATCATTGCAAGCTGATAGTCTTTTCACAATAAAGGTCAACACCAGTCTCATTGTGCTGTAAGCATTGTGGTACGGATGAATTCTGTTCTGTAAACTAAGAGAATCCATTTCCTTCTCTTGTCTAACTTATAGAAGTCATTCTGTGTCTTGTTTTGTGTTATCCTTTCTCCATCTTCAAAATTAGCAATGCTGGACCAAGACTTTCTCAAACTGCCATCCCTTTGGTTCCCTGAGGCTTTTATGTTTCTCTAATTTTCCATGCTCATTTGATTAGACTGAAAAAACATGTGTAATATGAAAGAATCTCCCCTTAAGATGCCTTACCTCTATCACATTTGCAAAGTTTCTTTTGTCCTGAAATGTACACATGAACAGGTTCTGAGGATTAGGACGTGGATATCCTTAGGGGCCATCATTCTGCCTATTACACAAACAAAAACATTGAGAATTGGTTACTAGCAGAATACCATTAAGTTAAATACTAAAAGGAGTTCTTCAGAAAGAGGGGAAATTATTTTAATAACAAGAATAATAATGCAAGTAGAGATAAAATGATTGGAAAAATTAATATATGGATAAGTATTACTTTTTAAAATGTTAACCTATTTTCAGTTATTGAAATAGACTCCAGTCATGTGCTGGAGCCAGCCCACATCAATTGGTAGGGACTTACTGCTTAATGTTCACTAATTTTGAAATCTAGTTGTTCCATGTGTTACCTAAACCATTATCAAAAATTAAATTGTAAAAAATCACAAATAATCGAATTAAATAGCGATGTAGTAGATACACAAATCACAACTTCTGAGTTATTTCACTACATTTCTTTATATCTAAGCTACTGAGACTATTTATATCTAATATACCTCTGTGATGGAAAAACAATGTAATAATGCATGACTGTTCATCTTGTCCCAGCATCATTCAGTGATGTTACATTGTAATTTGGAGTAAATCATTATGAGAGTATTTACACCATAAAAACTGAGCACTACTTGATGTATTGTCTTTACAGATTGTCTGGAAAGTGACAAAGAATGTTAGTTGAACATCTTAGAATTAGCAAGGAAATTTCTCATGTCAAGGTGCCAAGCTCTAACATATATCTTCATTATTTCATTATTATAATGCTCATTAATGTAAGATATTAAACCATTCATGTCATATCTACCTTTTCTCATCAACTACAACCATAGTTGGACAAAGGATGCAAGAGTTTATAAAAAAAAATCACTGGAAGAATTCTGTAAGAATCAATTAGGCTATGAAATTTATAATAGAAAGTATCATATGATATTATTATTTATGAACAGTGCTACTATTACTACTTTATCAGGAGAAACTACAGATGTTCCTTGACTTTTGATAAAATTTGTTCCAATAAACACGTTGTAAGTTGAAAATAATGTTATGTCAAAAGTCGTTTTAATACTCCTAACCTACTGAACATCAAAGCATAGCAACACAATACAGTCCTGATTGTTTATCTGATCTGTAGCTGGCTGAGAGCTGTGGCTGGCTGCTTCTGATCAGAATAATGAGAAACTATCATACCACACATCACTAGTCCAGAGAAAAATCAATAATGAGAATTTAAAGTATGGTTTCTACTAAATGCATGCTGCCTTTATACCATTGTAAAAAACCATCCTAAGTTGGGGAGGGTCTGCATAGTAAATTTGTATATATGCATACATTTTCCCCTGATAACTAATTGTTAAAATTAGTATAACAGTGGTGATGTTTAAGTGTTAGAACTTGCATTGCCTGAGAGATAGTGAAATTATTAATTAAGGTCAAGAATGCAGGATGTAGTTTCTAGGGTGGCCACTAAATGAATATAAGTAGCAAGAAGAAGATAATCATATTAGGCATATCTATTCAGAAAGAATAAGAGAGAGAAGGAATCTCATGTTTTTTAATTTAATGTAATTATTGACATATTTGGAATTAAAAGGATCATCCTACTTGCATTTATTAAAAATTTGGCTCCTCTACATGTGTTCCTTTTTTCTTTCTACTTTCTCTCTGTATGTGGTTAGACTTTTAACAAAATTGTTAGCATTTCTATATATAGATTTGTGGCCTGACTTCATTACATGTCATATTGCATGCCATTAAATATTCTTTGAAACATCATTTTTAATGGCAACATAAAAATCTCATTATATGTACTATTATTTATCCTCTCCCTTATTGGTTGATATTTGGTTTTTATGAGCTATTATGAATAATGCTATGCGGAACATCCTTTCCCACACATTTCTTTGGCAAATCTTTGATTATTCCCATAGGGTAGGTTCTAGAAATATGATAAAAAAGGTATGGATTGTTTTAAACTCTTCATACATATTGCTAATTGACTTTCAGAAAGGTTGTGCTAATTCACACTCCCGCTAGCAGTTAAAAAATGTTCCTTTCTCACTAGTTTCTTTAACATTGAATATTATTACTTAAAAATATCTTTGCTTTGAAAATTGAAACTACACATCTTGTTGACATTAGCATTTGCATTTCTTTGATAACTATGAAATTGAAGTTGTTGTTTTTTGGGGGGTTTATTTTCCAAACTGTGAATTTTTGGCTCATGTCTTTTGTTTTAATTTTCCAAACTTTCCTTCTTTATTAACATTGCCCTTTATTTTCATTTATATTGCTATGGATTGGATGTTTACGTCCTCCCCTCTTCCACAAAACTCACATTGAAACATAATCTTCAGGTGATTTGACCTGGTGGTGGGAACTTCGGAAGGCTCTGCCGTTGTGAATGAGATACCTGCCCCTGTAAAAATGACCACAGAATCTCTCTTATCTCTTCTGTCATGTGAGGCCATTGTGAGAAGCTGCCATCTTTGTATGAGCAAGTGGGTCCTCACCGGACACAGAAGGTGCTAGCATCCTGATCTCTAGAAACATGAGAAGCAAATCTCTGCTGTTTATAGGCTCCCCAGTTTATAGTATATTGTTATAACAGATCAACAGAATAAAATGTTCATAATGAACCATCAGCCCACAGAATTGCATATAACAATATTAATCAATTCATTAAATATTCACTGAGAATTACTAGCTTTTAGACTCATGGAAGGTCTAAAAATATATAACACACCATGGAGCTCATAAACTTGGTAAAAAGTTGTTTATTCATTTAATAATCTAACCCAATTTAGAGTGAAGAATATTACTAATGGCCAAATATATATCATAAGCAATAACCATACACACCAGGAAATATATTATTTGGAAAGTTTTTTTTTTAATGGAGTTGAGTATTTATTAAGGCCTGAAGGAAAATGTTGTATAGATTGAGAGAAGCCAGCTAAAAATGAACGGAAGGATGTCTCAATGTGTGTTCGTGGATAAGCGGAAAGAGTGGAATCTGTGGCCTGGTGCTTTTAGCAAATGAGTATTTGCCAAGATTATTGGAAATCAGTGGTGAACCAGACATGGATCTTGATGCTTCCCCATCATGCAACAGCCTTTGCTCCCTTTCCAATCAAAATGCATTTCAAGACCCACCACTGAGGTGAAAAGCAGCAGGAAGACAATGTTGAGCACCAGGATAAGATGGCACTGTGCCCACAAGACCCAGTTCTCTCTCCAGTGATTTTAGTGCCAGCGCCCAGTGAAGGAGGCTGGGGAGACTTCCTGGGGCAGATGACATACACACTAAAATGCTCTAGAGGTGAATAAATGAACCAGGAGATCAGAGGGCCTCTGCCCACCACAGGTGGAAAGGACAAGTGAGTCTTGAATTTAGGATTTTTATAGACTTCTCTTGGCTGGTATGTTTCCTGAGCAATTTGAACATTTTCCTTCCAACCCCTTCTGTTCTGTTTAAAATAGACAACAAAAATAATTATAAACATTCAAATTACAGGGGATAATTTCAAAAGCAAATCACTTAAAGCTTCCTCTTAATTGGTACTGGACTTTTCCTCCTGCTTTAAATAACAGGAAAATAGGTCAAAACATACTAAATGACTGTCTTGGGGCACTGGAGAATAGGCCATGCAGCACCGAGGAGGAAAATAATTGATATGAATTCTCCCAGCTTTACTGTAAGGTAGGAGAGAAGCACCAAGCCCAGCACTACAGTCTCACTGAGAAGCATCAAGCTCAGCACTGCAGTCTCACTGAGAAACACCAAGCTCAGCACTGTCATCTCACTGAGGGGAGGATAAAAACATCAGAGGGACTGTTAAAATACTAAGTCAAAAAATGTCACTCATTTTCTCCAAATAGCTACCCACAGCAGTTTTCAGTGGGTAATAAGATCCACTTTGAGGCATCATTGGGAGAAGAGAAATAAGAACACACATGCTTCACCCAACAGCCACCATGTAGAAGGAATAGAATCCAGAGTAGGGAATGGTTATCATTTCCATCATTAAAAAAATTTAATTCACTACGACTTACAGATTTTTTACAGTTTACAATTATAAATTATAAATCACCTATAACTTTGCCTCCATACCAATCATGAGCTCTAAGAGGAATGGTTTGTCTTTTATTCATCTGGATCCCCAACACCTTGACCTCCCCAGGGCAGGTTTTATGTGCTTAAACAATATTGTTTCTGAAAGTGTCAGCGCCTTTGTGATGTTGTGAAACTTCAAATTCTAGATGAGTTTGTTGGATGGGGGATAGGTAATATTGTTTTTCTTTCAGCATCTTTTAAATTCGGTATTAAAAACCACTATACTCTCAAGCTGGATTGCCCAGTTAGCCCACATGAATGATGTCTACATTCTGGGGAGGTGGGGAAGAGGTAGAGCAATCAAAATCTGAAATACTGTGTCAAAAATAAATTTCTTCCAACTCGACATGTTTGTGAGGCACCCTAGATGCTGGAGCCCCCGTTGAACTTCCTGCTTGATGTTCAGCCACCTTTAATACTTCTCCATTATGAAACGGAAATACATTGTCTCCTCCTCCTCATGGGGAGAATGGAAGCTTTACATTTTCAATAGAGTGGTTTATAAAGGAACATTTTAGTAGTGCTTTATCTCAAATAACATATACTTGTGTTAGCCTTTAAGCTTGTATCCATCTTCCATGCCACATTTTAAATACAGATTTCAAATCAATGCCATTTCCTCCCTACTCATTCTTTGCTTTTAGAGAAAACAAAAATTCTCTAACATAAAACTGTAAATAGCCCACAGATAGGGAAAACCAGAAGTCCTCAAAGAAAAAAAATAAGGTGAGAAAATTGGTTTTTAGCCTCAAATACTTTTCCACATGACAGATGGGCTCCATATTTGAAAGTTTGAACTGAAGAAGTCAGCAGGGCCTGATACCCCCTGGACCAGTATGGACAGTACACTGGGAGACTCAAGAGGCCACAGGGGCATCTGGCACAGTGATGGCTGGGAGTGTCAGGAACAACCGGAGTGGTCAGAGTTAGACCATCAGAACTCATTTCCTAGCAGAAGAGATGCTCAGGTAAGCTCATCTGGAGCACTTTGCTATCCGTTGAGCTCAAGGGGCACACTTACCATGTCAATGGGAGATTTTAACTTTATTGGTTACTTGGTTAGAAATGCACCACTTAACTCAGCCCTTCTGGTGCTGGTCAGACATGATTTCAGAGCCTCTGGTGAGACTTTGGAGTTGTAGACATGGAGTAGGGTTCAAGGATGGCGAGGTTGTCTGTTGTGCACACCACTTGTTAATAACAGTTGTGACAAAGCATAAAGTTGAATGACTCTAGCTTAGGGGGGCAGCCTCCAAATGCCTAAAATGATAAAGTAAAATAACACACACACTTATATATATTTTGGTCTCATTTCTCATCATATATTTAAGTACTTTCAGAGACATCAAAATTTCCTTCATAATGCAAATATTAACATTTAAAATTACAACTGTTAGATCATGCTTCAAATTTTCCCAGTACAATGTAACTATCATAATGACTAAATAGTTACCACCATTCATTTAAAATACATGAATGGTTTTAAATATAACAGCATTAATTTTGCTTTTCAAACTAGTATTTTTATTCTACTTCCTCTGAAAAATTTTATCCCAATTTCATGTGTTTTATGCTTGGGAGGAATTTATTGATTGCCTTGCCATACTTTTCTACAATAAACCACACACATAAATTGAGATTTAATTTTTTAAATGTTTCCTGTAACCATAAGACTGTTAAGTGTTAAAAATATCTTTCACATTGAGTTATAGAATTGGCATGTCATTGATCAAAACAACATATTATGCTTCAAATTTGATTCAAAAGTATTAAGCATCAAAGTAATATTTTATTGGATAGTCATCTCTTAATGAGGTCTATGTCCTTTAATTCTTTCATTGGCCCATAGGTCTATGGATGGATCTCACTTATTACTAGAATTTTCACACAATTACCTGCTCCTATTTTTGGTTTTTGTAGATATAAGTGCTGAGAAATCACATTCCTATGTCAGTGGATGGAAACTGAAGGGGCAATGTCACTCAAGTCTTTGATCTTCTTTGGCAATATATGTTCACGTTCACACAGTCACCAGGCATCATCAATTATTTTTAATCTATTAGCTGACAACTTGATTAGTCCTTCTCAATTTTGCTGAAAGAAAAGATTTGGAAACCACCTTGACTTTCAAAAAAGATCTGTCATGTAATCTTTAGTCTTTCAGTTTTTCAGCATCTTTACCAGTGTATGTCCCTTGGTTTGGTGTCACAGAGGTTTATGCACTCCAGGACACTTTGCCAGAGGGAGATTCTAGTTGGTGAGAACTATTCCTTTCTTACCTAAAGTAGAAAAAACTGACTTTTTTTTTCCCAGAAGAGGTGGGAATTTTAAAAACCCTGCTTTTTCTCTTCTCAAGAGATTAATTATAAGAAAGAATAACCACAGAAGTTGGAAACTCAGAAATTCTTGGAAAATATTCAAGTAGCAGTGGTGGGCGATACATGAAGCAGAGTTGCAACAGGAGGCATGCTCTAGGGTAGAGTCCTGCGTTAGCCATGTGTCATGACTGACTGGGTAGAAAGTCTTCCATTGATTACCATCCATCTCCTTTATTCACATATTGGGTGGATATTAGTCACCTATGAGATACACAGTAAGTATATACAGCACAAATGTGAAGGGCATACAATGGTAGTATACCAAAATAGATGAATGAGCTAAAAGGTCTTAGATCAGGAAGAGATTGCATTAACCGGTAGGAAATAAAGAAACTCAGGGTAACTGATTCCTTTGACAAGACCTTAATGCAAGTGTGTTAAACAAAGATAATCTTCTTGCAAAACAAATATTTATTGTAACATTATTTACCATGATGAAAAATTCTGGCTTGTGGTGCATTTTTTAAATAAATGTGGCAAACTTCTTCAAGAAATATTTTCCAGATGTTACAATTATCTTAGTGAGATTATTAAATAATTCTAATAAATGTTCGTTATATTATCAGTTTAATGACAAACTAGGATGTGAAACTCTATTAAAATACAATAAAATCTATGAAAAATTATGCTTATGAGGAAAATGAGGAGAATATATAAAGATAATAATCATCTTGGATTAATATCCATGTTATTTGTTTTTTTTTCTTTTCCATGTAAGTGGAAGAAATAAAATTATATTGAAAATGTGATTATATTTTCTTCTTGAAGGTCTTCATTGTTGTTCATATGCAATTATGATATATAAACAAAATGTTTTAAACATTTATGTAATTTGTTTTAAATTACAACAAATACATATTTTATTAATTTTGAGAAAACAATACATCTACATAATGAAATGGCCAGTCTAAAAGCTTAAAAAATAAAAATATATTTTCTACTAATTCAGCCTTCCAGAAGTTCCCACCCTCAACCACCCTAGCCTACTTCTAGGAGCTTTCTACACGTGAGTTCATATTGATGTATATGTGAGTAAGTAAGAAGATATTAATTGCATTTGATTTTATTTAATTAACATTCTCCTAAAATCCACATTTCCCTAATTTGCCATTTTTGTGCCTTTTTCTTTTGATCATTCAGAAAGTTTCTGGGCTCCCTTTAGTATTTCTGATAGTTGTATTTAAATTTTCATGTGTTAGATTTAAATCTCTTTTTCTCTGTCAACTTCAGACAGCATGTTTACTAGTTAATTTCCGTTTCCTGCTTCTGATGCCCTGCTTTGGTTGTAATTCTCTCTTTATCACTTGGTTCCTTGGTACCTTTAAATTTTTAAGACCTTCATTAATCAAAATATATATTGAATTAATTTCTAGTTATTAAAAAAAGAGAAGAAAACATCATGTTTAAAATGCCTCCATCAGACTTTCCCTTTTTCACCTTTGAATTCATACTAGTTATGTAATAATTCTACATTGCAATATAAATCCCTGAATTCTATAATTCTCACACCTCCTTTGTCATAAGTATCTACTTAGAGGATTTACTACTTATTTTATTTTCAGGCTGTTTTCTCATCAATTGGTTGATAAATGAGTCATACCACTTATTTTTGTTTTGTTAACAAGAGCCCATGGGTTCTATAAAACGATATAGAACATTTGGATCACACTTTATTATTTCTTATTCCAAAGACAGCATTGTTCTGTATAGTTTTCATGTGTTTCTCAATAAGTTTAAAACTAACAAAATCTGAAACCAGTCTGAGTTTTCCCCTTTCAGACAAATTAAGCGTGTTGCCTGGATGATTTATTCTTCATCATTTTTTATGTTTTTTTCCCCCTGTATACCTGTATGACATTTTCTTAAGGCATAATTTCCCTTTTTATTCATCAGATTGAGATTTTTTCTGAAAAGTTTTCTTTTATTATATCTTTAAATTTTTTTTCATTCCATATTTACCTTTTACTTCATCTGAGACACTGATTACATGTACATTATTGATTTTTACCATAATTCAGATTTATCATTTTCTTTATAACTTTTAATAAAATCTTTTTTATTTTTTAATTTTTTCAATTTTTAAAGGGTATCTCTTTGCCCACGACTTCATTTTTTTAGCAATATTGACAGTTGTGTATGTTTTTAATATAATTTTAGTAACTGAAGTTGTTTTGAATTTTCTCTCTCATTTGTTTGTAAGTATTGCTATCTTCTCATTTTATTATTTTTCTATTTTTTAATCACTTGCATCTATACCTTGAGTCTTTCAGGGTGACATTTTTATTATTTTGTTTCTTAAAAGATTGGTTACATCATTTTTAGTGATTTTTTATGACAATTATGCTGGTATTTAGGATTGTCTCTATTGAAATTTCTCTAATCTTACTTTAATTTCCTATCTATGTCTTTGTGTCATTTCAATGTTGGATGTATGCTTCCATATTATTTTTTAAATCTGAGCCATTTTTTTTTTCAGATCCAGCAATTTATTTAAGACTAGTAATGTGTGTAGTGAGATCTGAGAAGGGTGCTGAACCACAATCTTGTATTGAGGTCTGTTGACACTAAAATTCTGCCATAGAAGCATGTATTTACTCTGGACCAGGAGAAGGTCTGCAAAACCTCATTTGCCACGGTGACTGTTTCAGTGGGGTTATTGTGGATGTTGCATATGCTGCAAAGTCACCGATGTGATTGCCAGCCAACTCAGTTGCAACCAGATTCTTGGAAAGTTGGTTTGATTTACTTTTCAATTTGACTGGCTGCAGGGTTTCCAATTTTAATATTATTTCTGGGTGTGTCCATGAGGGTGTTTCTGGATGAGATTAACATTTGAGTTGGTGGGCTCACTAAAGCGGATGCCCTTTTCCAATGGGCATCATCCAATTCATGAAAGACCTTCATAGAATAAAAGGTGCATGAAGAAGGAATTTTTTCTTTTCCCTCCCTCACTGCTTCAGTTGGGACATCATGTCTCTTCTTCTCCAGTCCTTAGTTTGGATTTGCAATGTGCTTGCTTCCTCTGGTTCCCAAGACTTTGAACTCAAACTGAGTTGCTCCATTGACGTTTTCTGGGTCACCAGCTTACAGACATAAGCTGAGATGTATAGATCATGGTACATCTCAGATGCCATATTGTGTGAGCCAGTATACACACAAACACACATACATATATGCAGTTATTAATAGCATATATGTATATATATGCACATATTGTATTAAGTGTGTGTGTCTGTAACTAATACAATGCTTGTCTTTATTTGATTCCTTTTCCTCTGTGACTGTTATTTCCAAAAGACCTCTTTGAGACTCTTACAATGTCATCATGCCTATGTAAGAAGTCAGAAATTCACCCCTCAAAATAATTTACTCAACTGTTAAGATCTCTTCTAGCTTTCCAAATTCTGTAAAAACATTTACCTTTTCTCAATGTTGTCCCTGGATGCCACCATATTTCACAATATTCGGTAATGATTATTTACAGTTTATGGATGGGCATGGTGGTTATGTTCTATTCCCATTATATAAGGCATTTGTCACTTTTATTTTGTGCTCTTTGGTTTTACAGAGGCAATTTGGGGCAAAAATGCTTTTCCTTCGTCCAACTTAACATTTTCTTTGAAGCTAAGAGAGCGTACCTTCAGTAGTACTAAGAATAAAACAATAAAGTAGGAATTAAGATTGAGACCTGAATAATCAGTGGAATTTGTCATCAAACACGAGTCTGTAGTTAGTAGATATGAGAAAACTATAGAGAAAAGAATTACCTAGGTTCTATATCAAAAGAAGAAATGCTGTTTGGCTGGAATAAAGAATATTATAGAGTAATGGGAAGTAGGTTTTGAAGGACAGGTTAAAAGAAGGCCATTGAGAGTATATACTCTGGAGTTTCATTTTATTCTGGGAAATGGGGAAGACCAAATGAAAGTCTATGAATAAAGAATAACACATTCATAGCTCTTCTTCAGAAAGATTAATCTAGGCTTGCTATAACAGATTAAAGGGTAAATGATAAATTGTACACAGGGAATTCTTTTAGGGTGTTACTTTCCAGCTTCTGTATTAGTTTTCTATTTTTCATAATAAATTATGTAAGAAAGTAGCAACTTAAAATAGTTTCTGTGGGGCAGGAGTCAGCACACAGGAGAACAGAACAGAATAGCACTGTGCTTTTCTCAGGTCAGACAAAGCTACAATCAGGTGATAACTGGGGAGATAGTCTCACCTGTGGCTTGGGCTTCTCTTTGGAGTGCATTCAGTAGTTTTTTTTAACAGAACTCATTTCCTGCATATTTCATGGAACTTGCTCTTCAAAGACAGCAGGATACCCTTTGACTTAATGGAAACCTGAACCCTCTCCTATGATTAAAACAGGACTTCTAGGAAAATCACCCTTTTGATTAAATTCAATTGATCCAGGGTCTTGATTACATCTGCAAAGTGCTACCCTTGTCTTATAACCTAATCAGGAGCTTGAGAGCTTTACCTTTGCCATATAATGTAACTTCATCATGAGCTTAACATGAAGCTGTGGAAATCATAGGGCCATCTTAGAAATCTGCTTGCCATGTTGTCTCAGAGAGAGACATGGGGCAGAACACGCATTGTGCCTTTCACAGAGGTGTGCTCTAAGGCAGTTCTGTAACAGAAGCTGGTGTAGAGACAGTCAACCGACCAAAGGATCAAAGACAGAGTGATTAGAGCAAAATAACAGCATGTACAAGTGTGGTGTTTCAGAAGTGGCCCCAGTTTTATTTCTGTGAAGAGTGAAATCAGCAAGAGCTTCCCAGAAGAAGCATTTTTTGAAGGATTAAAACATTTGGGCATAGTAAACACATACAGAATAGACAAAGCAGGAGGGATGATTATCAGTGGATAAATA